AAAGATGTGAATTTTCGTTAGACAAAGATAACAAAAGAAACGTATGGGAGATAATTTTAAAGAATGTAAATTGATGAATGAATGCAGTGATGAATCATTAGAAATATTCTAAGCATTTAATGTATAATAAATTCTCTCGGTTTTCGGACAGAGAGTGGACAATAACTATTAAGACTATGGAAAGAGTACTTCGGCAACTCTCGAACAGGAAATCTCGAACACTCCGGCATAGAAACACCAATTGAAAGTAGACTACTACGTTGGATATAAGAAAATGTTTATCGTTGGATATAAGAAAATGTTTATCTTACAAACGAATTACAAATAATCGAACTACCAACTATGGATGCGAATAATGATTTTCATGGTTTAAAGGGATGACGACAACAATTTGACATACTTATTGGAGTTGATCATTTTTTCAAATTTTTTTAACTGGAAGGAATTCAACAATTTCAGACTCCTCATTGCTTCAGTCTCAAATTGGATCTTTATGTCGTAAAAACCGAAATAGTCGTACCATGAAATCATTCGAATAGTTTGCATTTAAATTTGCTTTTTCTCTGATGCTTATAGTCATGAGTCGGTTGTTTAATCTTTAAATCGTCTCTAAATGAGCTTTGTCTGATATTGAGATTTGCGCACATCTGGTTGACAATGAATCTTATAAACATGTTTATATCCAACATGTTTATCTCTAGATATCTGTTAAGCATCGCATTTCTTTCCTTTCTCCTTACACACTCCTTATATAAACATAAGAAATCCCAAAATTCATTCATTATTACCAAACACCACATTTGTCGACATTCAGGTCCAACAAACGCTCTCCATTTATTTCTCCCAATCTACTAATCCTCACAAAATGTCTCATTATTCTACTGGTTTTACCTGGAAGTCATTCTATTGTAATTGGAATTATTTGAACCTATCTTCACTGTATTTGGTAGCCAGACGATAATAAAGGATAATCTGCTGTACGCTTCGAACACACAACGAACCGGTACACTGTAAGTCATTCCTTTAAAACTTAACTGCTTCTACAACGAACAATAACAATCTCCCTCACCTTCTTAACTCCTTTTCTTTTAACTGTCACGACACTATATTAGTTGGAAGTGGAGAATATAAGCAAACTAACTAGTATTGAACAATTTACAAGCAATAATCCAATATGTGTGGCTAATGTAACTTGTAAACCAGAGATAGATCAATTCTGGAGATTGGAATTCATTGAAATTAATGTATTACTAAATGCTCATGATGACAAGCAAGAATTGGAACAATTTAAAAAAGGTACCACCAAACACAAAGAAAGATAGTAGGTTCGTTAAAACCATAGAAATGGAAATGACCATGGAAGAAACTGAATGTTAAATTAAGTGATAACTTTGGATTGTGCTTTGAACGTTTGATAACATTGATTGAAAGATTCCAATAGAATGAACAACGACTTCGGGAGTACGCTGAGATGAATAAAGACCAACTACACTCCGATATGATTGAAGAAGTACAACTCAATATGAACCAGGCTGGTATAATTCATTACTTATCATGAAGTAGTAACTCCCACCAAAAGCACAACCGAATTAAGAATTGTATATGATGCTTTGCCTCATCTGAAATGAACTGTGAGTTTAAATGATGTGTTATGTCGAGATCTAATATCACCTCCCGACTTGGTTGGAGCACTACTTCGTTTTAGAATGATGAAAAAAGTAATAATAGCAAATATAGAAAAAGCTTTCCTACAACTGGAGTTACACTTCGAAGAAAAAAATTGGATCCGATCTCTCTGGTTGAAGAATATCAAAGGTGAGGTATCCGAACAAAATCTGAAATGCTACCGATTTCGAACAATTCCCTTTGAAATAACACTACCTCCCATTTTACTATTTGTTGCTTCGATTATCACCTAGAGAATATTGGGAGTGATACAGCGATAGAGATAAGAAAAAACCTTTATGTCGATAATGTCAGCATATCTGCGGAGAAATCGTCAGAAGCTTTACAAAAGTATGTGGAAGTGAGGTCCATATTCATATTCCACGAAGTTTCGATAAATATTCAAGAATTTTCATCCAATGACAAAAGATTTGACATGGCGACACCGACCACCATAGAGCACAATTCGACCAAAAAAGGAAATTCCTTAGTATTGAATGGATGAACAATCGGGACACTATTCAAGTAATTCTACGAACATGATCCGAAAAGGAAACAACAGAAAAGACAGTGTTACAATTCTTGGTCTCTTAGTGTGACTCACTGGAATTTCTGGTTCCTATCATGATAAGAATCAAATTATTCGGCTCCAACATTTATGGCCAAACGACAACACATGGGATCAGGTCATAAATGATGATGATTAAAAAAACAGTGAGAATCTCTTATACGTGACTGGCCAATAAATTTAAAAAATTACCAATTTTAACAATACACCGAGATATCTGGAATTTCATGTTTTCACGGATGCTTCAATATATGCAGTATTTCCTAAGGCGTTTAAATCAACCGTTAAATCTTGATATTTGCTACAGGAATTGCTTGCCATATTTGTAGGAGTCCGGCAACTCAATTTGTTATAAAGCAATTGGATATAGAAGACTATAGGACAACCTTATGGTCAGATTCCAAATATGCTCTATATTGGATAACAAATTATTCGAAACTACTCCCTAAATTTATACAAAATCAAGTTGGAGATTAGAAAAGCATATTTTTTATTACATTATATCCCAACCGAACAAAAGCCGGTAGATGTAGCTACAAAGCTTCAAATCATAGTGGAATGGACCGCCATGGTGATTTTTTGTGGAATGGACTCCATGGTGATTACACTGTCTAGGTTTCCTTCTCTCAAAATTGATATTGACTTATCAAAAAATGGATCATCCTTTTTATCTGCTTTACAATCAGAGCAGTACATCTGGAAATGGCTGAGAACATATTCGTCGAAAATATATACTGAGGTATGTATTATGTACTTTATGCATGTACTGAGGAGATTTGTAGCTCGACATGGATACCCTTAATTGGTTTTGAGCGACAACGCCAGGTAACACCAATTTCAGCTGGTGTTCAAGACCATTGTGCAAAGGAATTCAGATTTCTTGGCAAGAAAAGGGTTAGTATAGAAGGATGCAATACCCAAAACTCTAAGGCGTTTATGAAAGTATAGTTTACCTTACAAAAAAGGCCTTACGGTAAGCCATAGGTCGAAAACTCCAACGAGAAACAGAGTTAATCACCCTAATAATGAAGATAAAGAGTATTCACAATACTCGTCCACCAACATCAATTTTGATGATTATCAAGTAATAATACAATTTCATTTCGCCAAATGCCCACCTGTAAATATTGTTTGATGATGATGATAATCAAGAACAATACACGCCATACAAGATTAATATAAAGGACAAGCTCGTCAAGTATTGGGACAATATTGTAAAAACTCTTGGACGTGTTCTGGGATCTGAATGGTCGGTATCGTTGTCTGCGAGATGGTGTCGGAAAAACCGAGATAGTTATATCGTAAAATCATTCATTCAAATAGATCGCATTTAACATATTTTTTCTCTCATGCTTAAATTCATGAGTCAGTTATCTAATCTACTAAAAGTGCTTCTTTTGATGTTAAGATTTGTGCATATATGGTAACTAATTTGTAAAGGCTTTATCTCATGCAAAATCTTTTATACAATGGTGAGAAAGCTGTACATCTGATAAAATAATTTCCATGCAATTTTTTCTAAAGAAAATTGTTCTTATATGTAAATTTCTCTTGCACCTGTAAGAATACTGTCAATATCCAATGATTGTCCCTCTTCACACAGCCTATATAAACCCTAAGAATCGTTAAGAATGTTAATGTAAAATTTTCTCCACGTCGCTACTCTACTCTACTCAACATGATCTTCATTTATTTTTTCTCCGTTAACGAATTGCTACTTCTATACTTCTCCCGTTATTCTACGTTATTGGACTTTATTATACTA